GGACAATCTTCCCACTTTGGGCACAGAAGAGGTTTTATTTGCTACCTGCACGGCTGCTGGATCGAAGCCTCCTGCAGAGGTGAGGTGGCTCACTGGTGCTTTGGGAGACAAAGTGAGGACGACAACAAACTCCACCCAGTATGACAACAGCACGACTACCACAATCAGCTCTCTGTTTGGTGTTCCTACGAGAGAGATTAACGGTCACCAGGTCCAGTGTGTCATCAGTGGTGACTCCCTGTCTATAGTTGAAAGTCTGCCCTTCACTATACAGATCTACTGTGAGTATCAGTTGCTGATGTAGTTTATTTTTTTATTTTTTTTATCCATGGTTGATGCATTTGTTATATTTTTTCTTGGAAATCTCTGAAAATTAGCCAGTGGATGCATCAGTCGCAATGCATGAACAGACTCAAGCGCAGGACTCTGTTAGTGAAACAGTTGTACAGTTTTATTTATAACAGACAGAATACCTACGACACTACTAAGGGACTGATAGATATAATCTGTTGCTGAATTCTGAAAACGCTAAAAGCTTTATGTGTAGTAAAGACAAAACATTCCATGTCCCAAACTTTGGTTCGACTCCTTACATAATTAAATAAAACAAAGGCAGTTTTACTTTGGTGTTTGACAAAACCCTCAAGGAAATGACTAAAACTAAGAAAGTGGACCTAAATGTTTGTTACTGGAAAGAGGATCAAGTCCAATTCAGATACTTTGTTTTGTTTTTCCTCTTTATTCTCGAGTGTGTGCTTTTTTGTTTTTTTTTAATGAATGGGAGTGAAACATCCCAAATCTCATGACTTTGCCTCCTGTTTGTCACATTGTAGCATGTTGTCACAATAGATGGGAAAATTCTTTCTGAAAGACAAAAACATCTAGACTGATTAAAAAAAAGACCATTGTTATTGCTAAAGACTGAATCATGGCCTGAACCACACAACATCAGCCTCAGTCCCAAAAGTTTGTCGAGTTTGGATTCAAGATGTAGGAAACATTGGCGAAACATTATTTTCATGTTATTACTGTGTCCTCAGTTCAGGATTAACACAGCTGTCTTTCTGCTCTTGCAGTCTCTCCCACAGAAGTGAACATCAGAGCAAAATCTGAGGACTCATTTGAGTGTGTGACAGAAGCCAATCCAAGTGCAAATTTTACATGGAGCAGGTAAAGTAGCTTGAATAACAGTTTCAGCTGAAACATTCATTTCATTGGTTCTTTTTGTTTGTCTCAAGTGACCTGTGCTGAGCCATGAAAAAAAAAGAGCGGTATAGAGTGTTTTTATATGGTTAACAAAGTTTGTGAGGTTTTGTTCATATATAATTTCTCAAATTTCATTCTTATCTGAACTACCATAGCACAGTTGGATGTTTAGTAAAGTCAGTCATATGTTAAAAGAATGACTGATGACTCATGGTGAGACATCGATCATATGTCTAAACTTCAAATATTTTTACTCCTTGAGTGTTGGTCACATTTTAGTGAAATACGCACATGATTATTATGTAATGGTTCCTCACTCAAACTGGGTCATATGTGACCAAAAGCGTAACATACTGACAATTTGTCACATAGCATAAAATGTTACGCTTTGGGATGAGAACATGTTGGTTCACAACAATCACTACTGGTTTGGGACTCTTTTTCAGTTCTCAGTGGATTTTAATAGTCATTCATTTTTACAATAAAGCCAAGCAGAGCCAACAGAACTTATCACTTTGTTTCTGTACTTCAGCATTACACAAACGGATAATGATCCAGATGAGCTACTACATCACAGACACTCTCGTTAAGTAGATGTTATAATAAATCATGGTTGGTTCCTCACATAACAATGAATAAAACTGAAAGAAATGTTGTAGCCTACTCAAATGGAAAAGCCCACATAGTAAATAAAGTATCAAATTCAGTCATTTGGAAAGATTTCAGTGTCCCGTGACTATTGATGATAATGTTTTTGATGTTTTTTTTTATACAGTCCCTTCATCCACTTGTTACTTATTTATTCAACATAAACAAAAATATGTACACTCCTAGCTTCACAGGCAATAATGACTGCTGTCATGCAGTTCTTAAAATGCTTTAATTCTAAGGTATTTGCTGTTACACAGTGGTAACTGTTACAGTTAC